GGCGCCTCAGATCGGTCACGCTTGAATGGCCACGAGTCGGAGGCAGACGCGACGAAATCGCTGCGCGCCGGTTTGTCGGACCGACACGAGGGCAAGCCGAAACCGACGAGCGAAGTCTCCTCGTCCGACGCCGTCGTCACCGCCTCCTCCTCCTCCTCTTCCTCCTGCTCCTCCTGCTCCTCTTCTTCCTGCTCCTCAGCCTCCGCCACCTTCGTCTCCGAGTCGTAGACACCGTTCACGCTGTTCACATGCACATGGTCCTTCCGAGACAGACACCCGACAACGTGTATGCGCTGCGCCACATTGGCCTCGGTGAGAGCCAACTCGTCCATGGTGACCGCACCGTTTCGGTCGAGGGAGCCCCTGTGACCGCCCGCCTGGAATCCGGTACCCAGACCGACGCAGCCCAGGGAGGCGGGTGGCAACCGCGTGGCAGACTGACGCTCAGATGGGCCGAGATGTCCGCACAACTCGGACTCCGGAAGAGATGGACTGCGATAGGCCGCCGTTCCTATGTCCTGAGGCACCCAAAGATCTGCATTTTAGACAAAATGATTGAAAATAACAGACATTTTTTCTCTTCTGTCCACTTTTAAACATCACGTTTCTATGACATAATGTGTTCATGCGATCGCTTTTATGCTGGAGAGAGAAAGAGAGAGAGAATAAAAGAGAAAAAGGAGACTATGGTAGTTATCAAATATTGATGAACTATAACAGACGTTACTTTCTATGCTTATTTCTTTGAGATCAGTAGCGATCCTCCTTCGGTTTCTGATGCGGCCAACTTACTTCTTAGTTCCAACCAGCTTCTCTCTCGGTTGGAATATTCGGACAAATTAAGCTATTAAGCGAATCTTTGTAACCCAGCTCCTTTTCATATACACAAACATCATATAGTACGAATTTGTACACATGAGCCCAATAATACAAATATTTTGGGATAATTGACGAGGAACTGATTAATTTATTCTTATATTCTCTTTTTAGTCATAACTTTATTAATATATGAAGAAAAACTGGATTATAAAGGATGCTTTTATAATTTAATGTTAGTTTACTTTTAATTTGGAAGGAAAGGTTGGTTGGACGGAATATGTGAATTAGTCTCATTGTAATCCGAATTAAGATTGCCGAAGTGTGCAGTGTTGGATGGTGAAAAATTGAATTATGCGATGCAGCATTGAGATCGAAAAATTAGGTATAGGAAGTGAGTAGGTTAGCAATCGAATGCCTATTATCTTTTTTAATAAATTTGTGCTCTTTATGCTAAATTATGTTTTATTGTACTGACGATGTCTGCCACAATATGGGCTAAAGTATAGCACGGCTTGATCGAGATCGAAGTACAATGAGCCGAGAACTCGGTGGCATACTCCGACAGTGATGAAGAGAAGCTGGGATTAGAAAAATCTCTTCGTTTTGTTTGTCGATTCATTTAGAAGAGGTTATCAAAACAAAATGTTGCAAAGATTTAAGAATTTAGTACAAAACGAAGAACACTAAGCAAGACCTAGCTCTGGCTGTAGGATAGAATTATATATATATATATATTTATACAAAACAATAAAAAATACCAGACATTTTTTTCATTTATGTCCACTTTTAAACATCAAGTTTCTATAACATTATGTATTCATGTGATCGCTTATATACATATATATATATATATATATATATATAAGAGGAA